TCCTACAAAGAAAAGCGCATACCAGAAACTTTTTCACTAAAGGACGATCTGTGAGACTGCTTATAAAACAAAGTCCACCCAGTATTTGAAACGGGATGGTGACAGCTGCTCTTTAGCAAGGACATTTTCAATGGATTTGTTGATAATATTAGTGAACAGAACAACTGACTTCACTATAGCATATTCACACGTCCACCTATGCTGTAACAAAGCCGTTTGCTGAATTCTGAAGACAAGTTCGCAACCTTTGCACAGGCTGTACAACTGCGCTTCTGTTAAAAAATGAGTCTTTGAGGGACAAAAAATTGCCCATGGCTCATAAATTCAACGAGTCTGAATGTATGAACAAACACTCGATACACATTAAAATAATGGAAAACTGTCTGCGACTTACGCGCCAGCTGCGACAGAATTGACATAATGATAGGTGGAACTGAACTGAAGAGACGACAACAAGAGAGTAGTATCGTAGCAAACATGAAAGCATGTGGATATCTTTGATCCATGAATTTCGGGATCAAGGGGACTGTCTTAATCCAGTTGGGGAACGAAGGATGCTCACCTTTTCATTGATGATTCATGGATGGCGTGGGAAAGTTCACCCTATAGTGATTCGGAGAACATGTCTCATAGATGACAGATAGAGGAAGGAGAACTGTGGGATTGGTGAATAGGCCAATATAAGGCAAGAGAGAAAATCCAAAATCGCTGTCATATCCAATATCTGCACCAGGGACTAACAAGATGATTTTTTCGTTCCCTTTTTTCGCATTTGTCAATATGGTATAACAAACTTAGCACCAGACATTTAGAAAGCTAACCTGATAAAACTCTCATTACATAGGATGATCCAAACATGTGTTTGCTCCTTATTGCTAATACTCTATTATTTCCCGATCTTTACTAAACCTTAATGACTCAGTTTTGAAAGCCAGCTTGAACCAGGTTTGTATAAACAAACGGATCTTGCACCTTAAAAATTATGGTAAAATTAAGGTATTAAATCCTTAGCGCTGCCTCAAGCCTAAAAGCTCTTGTGCAAAATCTTAGATATTAATGGTCTGGGCAGCGTAATAGATAACCCCAGCAGACAAGTTACCAGAAGGATTGCAAATACTTCGAGTCAATGCCAATGGTGATTTACACCACCGATGAAGCCAGCTACAATTTGTTTGTAATATGACCGTGATAAAAAGCGAAAGATCGTTTTTGACTACTTATCTCAATTGAGGCCCAAAGACTCCCTTCGATTTGTATTGATAAGGTTTAAAGGACATTTTGAACTAAAAAAGTTTAGAACGATCAAAGAGAAAGCATCATATATTACACGAAAGCCTACTCAAAACTTCTTCCAAATTATTTGGCAGAACCTACACTAAAAATTCGTGCATATTCTACAGAAATTTAATTTACCCATAGTAAACGATGACGT